TAGCTGGGACTACAGGCGCCCGCCACAACGCCCGGCCATTTTTTGGTTGCAGCCATCATTGTTGTTTGGCGGGCACGGGCTGGGGATTCGAACCCACCACCTTAGGTGTATGTGGCTGGCGCCTTAGCCACTGGAGCCACAGGCGCCGAGCCAGAATTAACAATTTTGATACTTTGGTTTGGTTTATTTATAAATTTTTTTTTTTTTGAGACAGAGCCTCAAGCTGTCCCCCTTGGGTAGAGTGCTGGCATCACAGCTCACAGCAACCTCCAACTCCTGGGCTCAAGCGAGTCTCCTGCTTCTGCCTCACAAGTAGCTGGGACCACAGGTGCCCTCCACAACACCTGGCTATTTTTTTTTTGAGACAGAGCCTCAAGCTATCCCCTTAGGTGGAGTGCCAGGGCATCACAGCTCACAGCAACCTCCTGCCTCAAGCCTCCCAAGCAGCTGGGATCACAGGCACCAGCCACAAGGCCCATCCATTTTTATTTTGGTTGCAGCCATCATTGTTGTTTTGGCGGGCCCGGGCTAGATTTGAACCTGCCACCTTAGGTGCATGTGTCTGGCGCCCTAGCCACCCAAGCCACAGCGCCGAGCCCACCGGGCTATTTTTTCTGGTTGCAGCCATCATTGTTGTTTTGGCAGCCCTGGGCTGGATTTGAACCCTAGCCACCCGAGCCACAGGCGCTGAGCCCACCTGGCTATTTTTTTTTTTTTTTGGTTGTAGCCATCATTGTTGTTTGGCGGCCCGGGTTGGATTCGAACCCGCCACCTTAGGCATATGTGGCTAGCGCCTTAGTCACTTGAGCCATAGGCGCCAAGCCGGTTTATTTATAAAATTGAGGAAATATCCTAGGAAGTAGAAAAAAATGACAGTGAAATAAAATTTAGTCAAGAAAGCTGGTACAGTGGCTCATGTCTATAATCCCAGCACTCTGACAGACTGAGGCTGGAGGATCACTTGAGCCTTAAGCCTAGGAGTTTGAGGTTATAGTGAGCTATGATGAAACCACTGTACCTAACTGGGGCAACAGACTGAGACTCTCTCGAAAAAAGAAAAAATTAGTCAAGATAGCTGACCAGAGGTATCTGGTACTTGCCTCCTCTACAAGAAGAACCAAAATACCAAATTAGGTAATCACACTTCAAATAGATCATCTAGGAGATCTAGAGAATGCTGGAATAGAACAGAGACATGACAAAAATTCACCTAAGGCAAGAGAGAGGGAAATAAGGCTGCCTATTTAGCCAGGATTGGCTGGGAGCCTAGAAAGGCTCCCTAATGCTGGGAAAGGTAAATGAATGACTCCTATTCCATATTCCCACAGCAGACTCGTGCACTCCTGGTTATGGGGAACCCCTCAACCCCCTAAGGCCCTGAGACAAACACAAGTCTATCTGGAGACCACAACATTGCTCTAGAGAGGGAGCTCATGCTGGGTCTCATAGCCCACCCTTGAGTCCTTAATAGATACTGCTAGGTGCTATTTTGAGAGTTTAGCTCAACCAGGCTACATCCTTACATGGATCCCAGTACCCCTTACATTTTCATATCTCCAGAGGTCCATTGACCCCACCTGCTGGGTGCACCAGCTGGCTGCTGCTCAACAGGTGAGCCATTGGGAACAACCCCCCGGTCCCTAGCAGGTGAGTTGCTGTGCATTTATTGGTGCCCTAAGGAAAGACAACCCACTTATACCCACAACATAGAGCCATGGTGCACACTCAACTGCCTATTTAAGGCAATGGTTCTTAACCTTTCTAATGCTACAGCCCTTGAAAGCAACTTTCCCTTCCCCAGGAACAGGGGTGCAACACAGCCACTGCCAGCCCTACCTGAGCATTCTGCTGGGGGCTTGGGGAATCACCCTATCCCTGCCTATACAACTAGTGCCCAACCACTTGGGGGCTTGAGGACAGGTCTGCTGGGCCTAGCAACACCCTCCCGTTGCCCAAGCATGACATCTGGGGGTTATCCTACCCCTGTACCACCATTGTTATCAGAGATGTAAAAGTCATTGGATATTAGGAAGGAGGGGGGTGAGCAGGGTTACAAACTTAAACCTGTCAGATACAGTGAATATTATTCAGGTGATCGACATCCATCTAACAAAAACATTTGTACCTTAATATTTTGAAATGAAAATAAAAATAACTCAGAAGTGGCTTATACTTGTAATCCCAGTCATTTGGGAGGTTTAAAGAGGATTGCTTGAGGCCAGAAGTTCAAGACCAGCCTGGGCAATATAGCAAAACCTTGTCGCCACAAAAATTAAATTAACATGGTAGCATGTTCCTGTAGTTCTAGCTGTTCAAGAAGCTCAGGCAGGAGTTTGGGGAAAGATAGCAAGACCTGCTCTTTAAAACAAACAAAAAAGAATAACTCAGTCTGATGGTGTTCCCTGAAACAGTTTCTGTTAAGTAGGAAACACCTGTGCTGGAATATTAGTTGCAAGCTATTTGACACCTGTCATTTTTTTTTTTTTTCTCAGCAAATTGTTCCTACAAAACAGTCATAAAACAATAGCCTAATGAAAAATTAGAGAAGGCTAGAAACAACAATTTATAGAAGAAGAAATAAAAATGAGAAAGTAAGGCTGGGTGTGGTGGCTCACGCCTGTAGTCCCAGCACTCTGGGAGGCCGAGGTGGTCTGATTGCTTGAACTCAGGATTTTAAGACCAGCCTGAGCAAGAGTAAGACCCTAGTCTTTAAAAAATGGCTGGGCGTTGTGGCTCATAGTAACCTCAAACTCTTGGGCTCGAGCAGTCCTCTTGCCTCAGCCAGGGACTATAGGTGCCCGCCAGAACGCCCGTCTGTTTTTAGAGACAGGGTCTCGCTTTAGCTCAAGCTGGTCTTGAACTCCTGAGCTCAAGCAATCCACCTGCCTTGGCCTCCCAGAGTCCTAGGATCACAGGTGTGAGCCACTGTTGCCTGGCCCTTATTTATTTATTGTTTTGAGACAGGGTCTTGCTCTTGCTTAGGCTGGTCTCGAGCTTGTGAGCTCAAGCGATCCACCCACCTTGGCCTCCCAGAGTGCTAGGATTATAGGCATGAGCCACTATGCCCAGCCTATTTTTATTTATTTTATTTTTATTTATTTTTTGAGACAAGAGTATCACTCTGTCACCCTGGTTAGAGTGCCATGGCATCATTGTAGCTCATAGCAGCCTCAAACTCTTGGATTGAAGTGATCCTCTTGCCTTAGCCTTCCAAGTAACTGAGACTACAGGCACCCACCACAATGCCCAGCTCATTTTTCTGTTTTTAGTAGAGATGAGGTCATGCTGGTCTCAAATTCCTGAGCTCAAGCAATCTACCCACCTCAGCCTCCCAGAGTGCTAGGATTACAGGCATGAACCACTGTGCCTAGCTAGTAATATCATTTTAAAAATATGTATTAATTAGTTTGGAATGGATTATTTGGGGTGCTGGGCTGGTCACATGGATTATTACTTTCTTTTCCTATTGAATGAATAAAGATGCCTTTAAAAAATCATTACAACAGCTGGTGTGGTGTCTCATGTCTGTAATCCTAGCATTCTGGGAGGCCAAGGTAGGTGGATTGCCCTAAGCTCAGAAGTTCGAGACTAGCCTGAACCAGAGTGATACCCCATCTCTACAAAAAAAAAAAACCCATGTGTTATGGTGGGTGCCTATAGTCCCAGCTACTTGGGAGGCTGAGGCAAGAGAATCACTTAAGCCCAAGAGTTGGAGGTTGCTGTGAGCTATGATGCCATGGTACTCTACCAAGGGCCATAAAATGAGACTCTGTCTAAATAAAAAATAAATAAAAAATCATTACACCATTAGAAAATAATGAATAGACAGAGGATGCCTTTGGCCAGAAATTTCGAGATATTTCTGGAAGAAAGCAAGTAGACATTAGATGGTCTGTGAAACAGAGTAAACTGCCACCCAGGGTGAGAACTGTAGCAAAGACAAGAGCCTTCCTTTCAGTGGAACACTGAAGACTCTGGGTTCCAAACTCAGGGCCTGTTGAACATAAAGGGTAAAAGTGGCACATGGTTCTATATCTGTGTGATTAAATAAAGGGTGTCCTGCTAGTTGGGCCAGTTGGTCTCTGTCTCATCGTCTAATCATATCCAGAAGTCATGCATAATATAGGAGGTACCTTCTTCTAGGCCAAATCTCAGAGGATTTTTTACTAAACAAACTGGAGAAAATACTTTGGGAATGCCCTAATTTAGGTATAAAATTCATAAAGAGACACGGAATAGAGTCTAAGATAATTCCAGAGCTCCGCTATATACAAAAAGAGGAAAGACAATTTCATTCAGGAAGGAACTACACAAAAGTCTTCCATATTCAGAGTAAAGTGCTCCCTGTTTGAGTAGATTTCAGTTCTGTTGGCATAAGATCACATACCACATAGTTCACCTTTTTAAAGTGTATAATTCAAGTTTTTAGTACACAGAATACCCTCTACTGTTTATCACCTATAAATTCCATAATTATCCCAACCCCTGGCAACCACTAATCTAGTTTTTGTCTCTCTGGATGTGCTAATTCTGGGTGTTTCTATAAATGGAATCATAAATACATGGTCTTTTGTGTATGTTTTATTCACTTAGCATAATGTTTCCAGTAGTCATATATGTTATATAGCTTGTATCAATACTTTGTCCTTTTTTATAAGTGAATAATATTCATGTATGGATGTATATCATTTTGTCCATCCCTCAGTTGATGGGCATTTGAGTTGTTCCCACAGTGAGCAGTTTTTTTGTTGTTGTTGTTTATCTTTTTAGACAGAGTCTTACTATGTCATCCTTG